ATGGTGTTCTTTGGATGCAACTCAGCATTCTTTGTCCTCCAAACACGACGAGTTGAGTTTTTACCAAAAAGTTATATTTTGGTTTCATCTGACCATATGACATTCTCCCAATCCTCTTCTGGATCATCCAAATGCACTCTAGCAAACTTCAGACGGGCCTGGACATGTACTGGCTTAAGCAGGGGGACACGTCTTGCACTGCAGGATTTGAGTCCCTGGCGGCGTAGTGTGTTACTGATGGTAGGCTTTGTTACTTTGGTCCCAGCTCTCTGCAGGTCATTCACTAGGTCCCACCGTGTGGTTCTGGGATTTTTGCTCACCGTTCTTGTGATCATTTTGACCCCACAGGGTGAGATCTTGCGTGGAGCCCCAGATCGAGGGAGATTATCAGTGGTCTTGTATGTCTTCCATTTCCTAATAATTGCTCCCACAGTTGATTTCTTCAAACCAAGCTGCTTACCTATTGCAGATTCAGTCTTCCGAGCCTGGTGCAGGTCTACAATTTTGTTTCTGGTGTCCTTTGACAGTTCTTTGGTCTTGGCCATAGTGGAGTTTGGAGTGTGACTGTTTGAGGTTGTGGACAGGTGTCTTTTATACTGATAACAAGTTCAAACAGGTGCCATTAATACAGGTAACGAGTGGAGGACAAAGGAGCCTCTTAAAGAAGAAGTTACAGGTCTGTGAGAGCCAGAAATCTTGCTTGTTTGTAGGTGACCAAATACTTATTTTCCACCATAATTTGCAAATAAATTCATTAAAAATCCTACAATGTTATTTTCTGGATTTTTTTTCCTCAATTTATTCTGTCATAGTTGATCTTTTTAAGTGGGAGAACTTGCACAATTGGTGGCTGACTAAATACTTTTTTTCCCCACTGTAGCATGGCACATTTTGTCTGATAAAAACATTAACACATCTCTTATACAGCAGCTAACAAGGAAAGGTGACTATAAACAAATATCCTAGTTGGAACACCAGAAGAATGAAGGATAGGCAAATCTCTATCTCTACGGATAGAGATTTGTTTTTTCCCCAACATACACTACCGGTCAAAAGTTTTAGAACACCTACTCATTCAAGGGTTTTTCTTTACTTATACTACTTTCTACATTGTAGAATAACAGTGAAGACTTTAAAAAAAAGTATTTGATCCCCTGCTGATTTTGTACGTTTGCCCACTGACAAAGAAATTATCAGTCTATCATTTTAATGGTAGGTTTATTTGAACACTGAGAGACAGAATAACAAATTGATTTGCATTTTAATGAGGGAAATAACATGACATAATACTTGGTGGCAAAACCCTTGTTGGCAATCACAGAGGTCAGACGTTTCTTGTAGTTGGCCACCAGGTTTGCACACATCTCAGGAGGGATTTTGTCCCACTCCTCTTTGCAGATCTTCTCCAGGTCATTAAGGTTTCGAGGCTGACATTTGGCAACTTGTACCTTCAGCTCCCGCCACAGATTTTCTATGGGATTAAGGTCTGGAGACTGGCTAGGCCACTCCAGGACCTTAATGTGCTTCTTCTTGAGCCACTCCTTTGTTGCCTTGGCCGTGTGTTTTGGGTCATTGTCATGCTGGAATACCCATCCACAACCCATTTTCAATGCCCTGGCTGAGGGAAGGAGGTTCTCACCCAAGATTTGACGCTACATGGCCCCGTCCATCGTCCCTTTCATGTGGCGAAGTTGTCCTGTCCCCTTAGCAGAAAAACATCCCCAAAGCATAATGTTTCCACCTCCATGTTTGACGGTGGGGATGGTGTTCTTGGGGTCATAGGCAGCATTCCTCCTCCTCCAAACACGGCGAGTTGAGTTGATTCCAAATAGCTCCATTTTGGTCTCATCTGACCACAACACTTTCACTCAGTTGACACCCAATCATTCAGATGTTCATTGGCAAACTTCAGACGGGCATGTACATGTGCTTTCTTGAGCAGGGGGACCTTGCGGGCGCTGCAGGATTTCAGTCCTTCACGGCGTAGTGTGTTACCAATTGTTTTCTTGGTGACTATGGTCCCAGCTGCCTTGAGATCATTGACAAGATTCTCCCGTGTAGTTCTGGGCTGATTCCTCACCGTTCTCATGATCATTGCAACTCCACGAGGTGAGATCTTGCATGGAGCCCCAGGCCGAGGGAGATTGACAGTTATTTTGTGTTTCTTCCATTTGCGAATAATCGCACCAACTGTTGTCACCTTCTCACCAAGCTACTTGGCGATGGGCTTGTAGCCCATTCCAGCCTTGTGTAGGTCTACAATCTTGTCCCTGACATCCTTGGAGAGCTCTTTGGTCTTGGCCATGGTGGAGAGTTTGGAATCTGATTGATTGATTGCTTCTGTGGACAGGTGTCTTTTATACAGGTAACAAGCTGAGATTAGGAGCACTCCCTTTAAGAGTGTGCTCCTAATCTCAGCTCGTTACCTGTATAAAAGACACCTGGGAGCCAGAAATCTTTCTGATCGAGAGGGGGTCAAATACTTATATTAAATACTCCCTCATTAAAATGCAAATCAATTCATAACATTTTTGACATGTGTTTTTCTGGATTTTTGTTTTGTTATTCTGTCTCTCACTGTTCATGTCTTTGTCAGTGGGCAAACATACATAATCAGCAGGGGATCAAATACTTTTTTCCCTCACTGTATATATACAAATAGCCACACTTTGCCTTGATGACAGCTTTGCAAACTCTTGGCATTCTCTCAACCAGATTCATGAGTTAGTCACCTGGATTGTTTTTTTCAATTAACAGGTGTGCCTTCTTAAAAGTTAATTTGTGGAATTTCTTTCCTTCTTAATGCTTTTGAGCCAATCAGTTGTGTTGTAACAAGCTAGGGGGGTATAGAGAAGATAGCCCTATTTGGTAAAAGACCAAGTCCATATTATGGCAAAAACAGCTCAAATAAGCAAAGAGAAACGACATTCCATCATTACTTTAAGACATGAAGGCCAGTCAATACGGTAAATGTCAAGAACTTTGAAAGTTCTTTCGAGTGCAGTCGCAAAAACCATCAAGCGCTATGATGAAACTGGCTCTCATGAGGACCGCCTCAGGAATGGAAGACCCAGAGTTACCTCTGCTGCATAGGATAAGTTCATTAGAGTTACCAGCCTCAGAAATTGCAGCCCAAATAAATGCTTCACAGAGTTCAAGTAACAGACACATCTCAACATCAACTGTTCAGAGGAGACTGCGTGAATCAGGCTTTGATGGTCGAATTGCTGCAAAGAAACCACTATGAAAGGACACCAATAATAAGAAGAGACTTGCTTGGGCCAAGAAACACGAGCAATGGACATTAGACCGGTGGATATGTGTCCTTTAGTCTGGAGTCCAAATTTTAGATTTTTGGTTCCAACCACTGTGTCTTTGTGAGACGCGGTGTGGGTGAACGGATGATCTCTGCATGTGTATTTCCCACCGTAAAGCATGGAGAAGGAGATGTTATGGTGTGGGGGTGCTTTGTTGATGACACTGTCTGTGATTTATTTTGAATTCACACTTAACCAGCATGGCTACCACAGCATTCTGCAGTGATACACCATCCCATCTGGTTTGGGCTTAGAGGGACTATCATTTGTTTTTCAACAGTACAATGACCCAACACACCTCCAGGCTGTGTAAGGGCGATTTATACCAAGAAGGAGAGTGATGGAGTGCTGCATCATATGACCTGGCCTCCGCAATCCCCCAACCTCAACCAAATTGAGATGGTTTGGGATGAGTAGGACCGCAGAGTGAATGAAAAGCAGCCAACAAGTGCTCAGCATATGTGGGAACTCCTTCAAGACTGTTGGAAAAGCATTCCAGGTGAAGTTGGTTGAGAGAATGCCAAGAGTGTGTAAAGCTGTCATCAAGGCAAAGGGTGGCTATTTGAAGAATCTCAAATATAACATATATTTTGATTTGTTTAACACATTTATGTGTTATTTCATAGTTTAGATGTCTTCACTATTATTCTACAATGTAGAAAATAGTTAAAAAATTAAATAAAACCCTTGAATGAGTAGGTGTGTCCAAACGTTTGACCGGTAGTGTAAGTCTACCTAAATATAGAATAGGCAGCAGTTGTGTGACTAGATTGGACTGCCCATTCAGCCCCAGTCTCGCCCTCTAGGACGCCTCTTCCCCAGGATGCATCTTTCCCAGGACGCCTCTTCCCCAGGACGCCTCTTCCCCAGAGCTAAACAACCGTATTACCTTTTGTGCATGTGTTACTTTACTTCTAGTTCTGAACAGCTGAAATAAAAACCCTGTGGTGATTTGAACAACCCCCCCCCCATCCCCCTTCCCCACCCCCCCACACACACACAAAAACATTTGTTGAGGTGATCGACGTGTGCCTACAACCTTCTCTGTCTGTTCTAACTAAGCATTTTGTAAACATAAGCAGGACGCACACAATATCCTTATCCTAAACGTGGGGCGAAACCAAACGCATTTTGCCTGCATGACAACATGACATGTAACATGTAGCCTAGCCCTGTCTTCACGTTGCATTGGGGCAAAACATCTGCGTTTTAACCATAAATAAGATACAACTGTTATTTCGCTTCTCAGTGATCATGCAATACTGCACGATTTGATAGACAGCACATCATTGAAATAGCCTTCCACCTCTGGGCAGCCCAATTTTCTGCGCGTGTAGTTGTTCTGCGTGTGTCTCACATGAGCAGAAGGTGCTGCTGTTTAGCTATCGGGAAGAGGCGTCCAGAGAATCCGGTAATGCAGCCACTCCCTAGAGAATACAGGGCTATAAACATCAAGCAATGTCAGAATCTGAAGCCTGGAATCGAAGCTGAATATCACTCCGTTTCACTATTGTTTCACTGATTCAGTCTGGAGAACCTCCAATAGAAGGGCAGTTGGACCGTCTACTAGGACGATATTCAGTGTGGATTCCAGGCTAGCAATCTCCAGGTTCCAGTGTGTGTTTTTGGTTTCTCGTTTGAGGGTGGGTTAATGAGGGTGGGGCTATATGAGTGGGCATGGCCTCAGGTGAGCTGAGGGACAGCGGAGACAGGCTGAGGTTCGTCCAGGAAGATGAGGTTGTCGATGGACTTGAGGTGGTTGGCGCTTGTCTTGTTGGTCTCCATGGTAGCCAATCCAAAGGAGCACTCGTACCCTCTGTTGTGTCTGGGAAGAGTCAATGCCTCCTCTGACACAAAGCTTTCACCTGTCCAATCAAAGCAAAGCTCGTCTCAATCCAAGGCCCAATAATACCATAGCAGTCAATGTGGTTGTGCTTTATTTCACTATACAGAAATGACATAGTAATGACCTATAAATAACATGTTTTGTTTGATTGGGATTCATTAAAACAAGCATGTGTGATGGCACCTGTTTCGGAGGAGCAAGAGGGACAAACAGCTCTTCTTGGACAGCCCATGATGTGAATGTCCTTTCCATCGCCACCATGTTCCAAAACAACATAGAACTAAAACAGAAGGGATAACCGTTGGGGAATACAGTAAGGTAACATACAGTAGCCTACTAGTAGTTCTGGGACACCGCTCAAACAATATTCTCTAAACTGTCTGCCTGTGACCCACAAGGCCTTTTGTGATTGGTCATTGTTTGTGTATGGTAGTCACCATTAACTGGGTTCAGACTTACCCGTGGCATCTTGGGGACGGTGGTCTCTGACATGGTGTCATCACTGGTGCTTGTCTCGCTCATGTCATCCACAGAGGGGTGTTTCCGAACGGATCTCCTGGACCTGCAATCACATGGTATATCATTGTGTCATATGTCATATGTCAACATATAGTCCCATGTGGCTCACTTGGTAGAGCATGGCACTTGCAACACCAGGGTTGTGTGTTCGATTCCCACGGGTGACCAGTATGAAAATGTATGCACTCACTACTGTAAGTCGCTCGGAATAAGAGTGTCTGCTAAATTACAAAAATGTAAAATGTCGAATCATTCTGGTAGACAAAGAATACAGTAAAATGCGATGCATCTATCAATAATGCATTATTAAAGTGTACATGCATTTATACAGGCTGTTGTTAGCAACCATGAGCTGTTATTAGCAAGCATTGTATGATAGAAGACACACCCCTTCATATTGTAATGGCAACCATATGGTATCACAGATCTAGAGGGAATTGTGTTATGTTCAGTTCTCTTCAATACATGACAACTCCAATGCCAGTGTCACCATGGATATAAAATACACTGATAGAGCGTAAGCTGTGTCAATACCGACAAGTAAATATGGATGCTCATATCTATGTAAATGGTGACCTTGGAATCCTGACTGGTGGTATCATTTTGACAGACCGTTTCAGTTCCACAGTAAAGCATGTCCCCACAGCCTCTAGATAATATCACATGCAAAGAGCCATGAGTCATGAAGGAAAGGATGGCGAAACATCAATTTTACAGTCCACTGTAGTCGAATAGAGTAAGTGGCTTTATTACTTTATTACAATGGTGTATGTTTGATCTCTGTGACCTGTCCTTTCACCTGGAGAATATGTGTGTGTGTGTATGTATTTGGACGTGAACTACATTTTCAGCAGAGAGAGAGAGAGAGAGAGAGAGAGAGAGAGAGAGAGCGAGAGAGTGTGAGTGTGCATTGTGTGCATTGTATGTCCCCGCAAGTGTGTTGGGTGCATCAGCTAGAAAAACTAAACTGCACAAGGGTGCATCTGCACCTGCAGCCAAGTGCGAAAGGCAATTTTGGGAAAGAACTATTGCCTATTGTCACCAGTGTAGCGTTTGAACCGGGATATAGCTCAGTGGGTCCATCTTGGGGCAGAGAAATGACCTATTTTGATGTGCAATTGCTGTAGAACAAGCTAAACCAAGCATGTAATTGAAAGCATGCCTCTTCCAGCAGGAAGCCAAAGGAAGAAACCCTGGAAGAGAAAAATGCCCTGATTTGTGAGTCTAAAGAGCCGCAGAGACACCGTTGTGTCTCTCTAAGCCACCAAAACATCCGTCAAGAGAATCAGCCACTTAACTCAGATAAGGGAGTGTGTGTGTGTGTGTGTGTGTGTGTAGAATCAAAAGAATGGGAATATAGAGTTTATGTATGCTCATGGCACCTCAGCAAAAGCGGGGCCACATGCCGCCATTCGTTCTATGTGATTAGTTTATTTGTATTTTCTCCCCTGCTGTTGTGCCTTCACCTATATTACACGGGCCATGCCACCCTGCGTTTGATAGGCACCTCTTTATGTTTCTACAAAGGGGATTGGATACTTGTCGTGGTGTTAGCCCCATGGAGGGCCCACGTCTTTAATCTGTTGGGGCCTATGCTCCCGATGCCTCTGCATAATACAATATTTTACGCAGCACGTTTACACGAACACACACACACACCTACATCACATGTACAGTAAACATACAGCAAATGGACCCAGATTGACAACAATTTGGACCATTAATTTTGAACAGGCAAAATTGAACAAAGCCTATTTATGCCTGGGGTATTTAATTAAGCAATAAGGCCCGAGGGGGTGTGATATATGGTCAATATACCACAGCTAAGGGCTGTTCTTAGGCGCTATGCAACGCAGAGTGCCTGGACACAGCCTTTAGCCGTGGTATATTGGCCATATATCACAAACCCCCGAGGTACCTTATTGCTAATATAAATTGGTTACCAAAGTAAGTAGAGCAGTAAAAATACATGTCTTGTCATACCCGTGGTATACGGTCTGATATACCACGGCCAATCAGCATTCAAGGCTCGACCCACCCAGCTTATAATACCCTTTATTCTATGGTTCCAAAAGGGAATAGCTTATGTAATTATCTTGGACTTAATGTATAAGTACAGGCTGTAACACTATGTGTATTGCGTACCACAGCTAAATCTGTTTTTGATGAAGATACAGAAAGAAAGCTAGCAAACGTGGTAAGGACTCGGGCAGCCTGTTACAGGTTAAGTACATTATTTATTATTACACTGAGGGTTACTGTGGTATAAGACCCACCCAATCAACAATCCCCCTCCCCCGCCACCCCAATTTCTCCTCTCACCCGTAGCAGTAGGTGATGCAGGCAGCGATGGAGAGCAGTGTGATGAGGACCACCATGCCCAGGGCGATGGCCACGTTCCTTCTCTTCTCCTGTTCGGCCTGCTGCAACTCCCACCACTCCAGATCACTGAACTGACAGCGCTCGCCCATGTAGCCCGCGATACAGCTGGGAAGACCACATGCAATACTCACTGTTAATATAACACACACATACAATATGACACCACAACTTCTGAAAAACAACAAGCTCAAAACAGGTGTTGGCTGATTTATGAGACAAGTCTACTGAATGCTTATTGAGAACATTTCTGTGTATTTTGCAGACCGATGCAGAGGCAAACTTTAGAATCCTATATCTTACTGTTTATTCTATATCCTTTATCCCACTGTAGATACAATCCTTTATCTCACTTTGTTACCATAGCTAAGGAAAGGCTGTATATATGGAACAATAGTGCCACCTACTGCCGTTGTCTGAACTGACTTACTAGAGTGAAAATCCCTATAAAGAAACAATTTTAACCCCCAACTCCCAGCCACTGTATCTGAAAGGATTGGATAAGAGTAATAAAAACAGTATTTTTTCCCCCCTAATGTTGTTGACAAGTCAGTAAATAATGGTGTTGACCCATGTACAAGGAGGTAGATAGGGGTACTTGCTTGCAGGCATAGGACTCCATCTCTGGGAAGTAAAAGCAGACTCCCTCGTAGAGACAGTAAGTTTCATGAGATGAGGGGCAGCTCTCCACTGTGTTAGTGTTCACCCATTGGCTGGTGACGTCCATAGGCCTACTGGTGGTCACCCACGAGGACATAGTTGACAACTCTGCAAACACGCAGAGAGAAGGAGGGTGGAGAGAGAGAGAGACACACAAAGAAAAAACAGGAGAGACAAAGGGGATTATGGTGATGTCGTAAAAAACTTTAAGCAGAAGTTGAGCATAATTGTCTTTATAGAGATTGTTGCAGTAGTAATGTTTATTATGATACTGTATTTAGCGCTGCACCTTGGCATGTCTGTCCATTCCCACTGTAGCCAGCTTGACACATGCAGCGGTACTTCCCTATAGTATTGACGCATTCCGCTCGCTCATCACATTTGTGTGTTCCCATTTTACACTCGTCAATATCTAAATGGGAAAGAAAACAACATGAAAACGATTGTGAACATGTAAATTATACGAAAATGGAATGTTAAATCATCAAAGTTCATGAGTGATTGTTCACCGGTACAGTGGTGTCCCTCTCCACTGAAGCCAGGGCGACATTGGCAGTAATATCCACCGGCAGTGTTGACACACACTGAGCTCTGGCTACTACACAGGGCCATCCCCAACATGCACTCATCACGGTCTAGAAACACAACATCACACAGCAAGATACATAACCTGACACACACCTTTTTCCCTATCTGATTTCAGGAATGACATTTTAATCCCTTTAGCAGATCCTCTTATCCAGAGCAAATAGGGTTAAGTGCCTTGCTCAAGGGCACATCATCAGATTTTTCATCTAGTCGGCTCGAGGATTCAAACCAGCAACCTTTGGGTTACTGGCCCAATGCTCTTAACCGCTAGGCTACCTGCCACCCAGTTCTCCTAAATAGGAATTTAATTGGAAATAAAAAAAAGGTTCACAGGTACACACGTATGCACACACGCACTCACCCACACACAACTCTCCATCCCCAGTGAAACCTTCCAGGCAGTGGCAGGTGGGGTTGCCTCCATCCAGTAGACATTGTGCATTCACATCACAACGGAGAGAGAAACAGTCATCCTGGTCTGGAAGTGCAAGGATGTTGCCAAAAACGTTTCAAAAGACCAGTTTCACTGTATAAACTGCATATGTGGACAAAATCAGAGTGGCAGCCATTTTGTGCCCGTATGAAATCTACGGTATTGTTGTTATAGCAGTGTGGCTTTTACCTGACACCATCTTCTCAATGAAGAGTGTGGGCTCACTCCCTTCGTCCATGTTGTCCTCCTCCCCGTCAGTAGAGAGACCAGGCACAGGGAGCAGCAAGCTCTCATCGTTCAAAGTTTTGTTTTTCAGAGAGAACGAGTCTGCAGACTCGCCATCTTCAGAATCTGTAGGAAAAAGCATGAGCAGACCAAAGTTGCGTCTTTCAAAATCAAACTCAACCAGAATCTTTATGAAATGTGTAAACTGGGGCTCATATCACCTGTTGATCCGTAGGATGGCAAGCAGCCTTTGCCATCAGATGATTGGGCAATGTGTGAGTGACAGGAGCAGTGGGCGAATCCTAGCCTGCTCTCACACACCTGAGCACAGCCCCCATTTTGATAGAGACACATATTTGCTCCTGAGGATGACAATGAAATAAATTAGGTAAAAGACTGCGATAAAGCAAACATAGGTATTTAACAATCATATTATGGAGTCTCTCTCTCTCACTCTTTCTTGCTACCTGGCTTGGCGAGGGGGTGAACCACAACTATGGATGCCGGTTGGACCATGTTGACATGGAGACGCTCTGGGTTCATCCCTGTCCGCTTGTCAACACTCAGAAGCAGCTGCTGCTCCCAGTCCGTGATCCACAACCTGTCCTCAAACACTACCAGGTCAAAAGGTCGACCTGGACCAATCAGAAGAGACAATGGAATTACAATAAGAATATGTATCATATTTAGTTAATATAGGCTATAACCTTTTGACTGTGTGTGTGTGTTCCACAGAAGCCTCACCTACTTCGTTCTCTGTCAGGACTCGTCGGTTGGAGCCATCCAGGGATGCCGTCTCCAGTACGCCCCTCTTGCTGTCACACCAGTACAGCTGGTCTTCAGTGAAGTCAATGGTTAGACCGCTAGGGGACACCAAGTCAGTGCTCGCGATGACCGCACGGTCACTTCCTTCCAAAGACGCACTCTCCAACACAGGCCTGGTACCCATATCGGTCCAGAACAACTTCCTCAAGAAACAGAACAGAAATGATAACTCACCCATCTGCAATTAAAAGGCAGAGGACAATGTGTAGCAGAAATTCTGATAAATAAATATATTTAAAATATCGTACTTGGCTAAAGGATGAACTGCAATTCCCCTTGGTTTCTGTATGCCTTTGCTAATAATGGTCTCTCTGTCGAAACCATCCAAGGTGCTGCGGTCAATAGATGAGAGGCTGAAAAACAGAATTCAAAAGTAATGTCCAAGGCTTAAGCTAAAAAATACATTAAAAAATAGTAGATATAATTTGAGGAGAATGAATAGAATAGAAACAAACCACACATAATATAATTCATTGTTTGAACTTCAGAAAGTTCAGTGTGAATGTCAATGTCAATGTAGGTGTGTGTTCTAAATTTAAATGAGGTTCTGACAATAGCATTGGCCCCAGCTCTGAACCCTGGGGTACACCACCCACCCTCGGTCAGTCCAGTAGAGCTTGCGGTTGACCCAGTCCACAGCCAGGCCCTCTGGTGAGTCCAACCCCTCAGTGAGCAAAACCTCACGGGACCCGCCGTCCAAATCAGCCCGCTCAATCTGCTTCAGTACGGTATTGGCAAAGAACACCTAGGAAAACACACACCTTCTATTATTTTTTGTTATCAATATGCCTCGTAAGCATAATTGCCTGACATGGACCAAACAGTTTCACTTCCTCATCATTGAGAGTCATGCAGTAACCAGTAATGACCAATAGATGGTAGCAGATCTGAATACAGCTGACCCAAAGTGCTCCATAGTAAATTCAGAACAGTAGAATACGTTTTGAAGTTGTATAACTGACTTCAATGTAGACCACTTCTACCTTTGAAAACCCAAAGCATTTCCTTACTTTGTTTTGTACAGGATCATAGTCCAGAGCTATCACTGTTCCACTCGGTTCCTCCACAAGGCTGTGGTCACCAGTCCCATCCAGATTAACACGTCTGATGTTTACTATGTTGGCAAACAGCAGATAAGGTGGTGGTCCTGGAACATAATGATATGAAGTGATGATGAATAGAAAACAAGAGGGAAAACATACCTCTTTTTGCATGTGTGTTTATTTACTGTGTGTGTGTACATGTACTTTTAAATTGGTCATTTAGCAGACGCTCTTATCCAGAGCAATTTACAGGAGCAATTAGGGTTAAGTGTCTTGCTCAAGGGCACATCGACAGATTTTTCACCTAGTCAGCTCGGGGATTAGAACCAGCGACCTTTCGGTTACTGGCACAACGCTCTTAACCACTAAGCTACCTGCCGCCCCATACTTGTATGCGTGGCAGCGTATGTGAGTGTGTGTGTGAGTGTGTATCAGTGAGGACTCACCAGTGGCTGTGCAGCGTTTACCGTCTTGGTGGAGCTTGTACCCGGGCAGACAGTCACACTCCCACCTACCAGGAGTGATGGGGGAACATTGCTGACTACAGCCCCCTCGGTCTGAAGAGGAGCAGCCTGGGTGAACCACACACACACACACGCACGCGCACGCACACACACAAATGGTGAGAGATTCAGTGACACAGCCTCCACTCAGAAACACTGAGCAATAAAACCTCCCTCTTGTAACACTGATAAAACCTCCACTCTGTAACACTGATAAAACCTCCACTCTGTAACACTGATAAAACCTCCACTCTGTAACACTGATAAAACCTCCACTCTGTAACACTGATAAAACCTCCACTCTGTAACACTGATAAAACCTCCACTCTGTAACACATCTCCAGTGGCTTTAGGTAAACATGTAGTGTAGTATTACCTCTACAGGACTGTCCATCCGGCTGTAGTATGGACCCCTCTGTACACACACAGATGGTCCCCTCATCAGTAGCAAGACATCCATGATCACACTGGGTCATATTGGCCAGACATGGTGAGGTCTCTGTTGATGCAAGGGCAGATAATTAACAAAGATACACAGAACCCAATGGCGTATTGCAGTTTGGCGGACATACAAATTACTTTATTCGAAATTCATGATAATATAATGTTGCAAAGCAGCGCTATCGCAGTTGAAGTGGTAATAATCCAATAAACATGTTATTCCAGAATCAGATGTCCAGTTACTTTAACTGATTTGAATTTTTTTGTCTGAGCTGACCTTATCAGATGCGCCACTCGCAATGCATTGCATGTTGTGCTTTGAACTTAAACCTTGGGCCATTTCCGATGCTCAGGCACTAGTATCCTCACTGTCATGCTACAACATCAGTGAACACACTACAGAATCAACAATCACAAATGATTAAGGGCTATGTATGAAGGGTTGTGAGCAATGCAAACCACTGGTGGAAAAAGTACCCAATTGTCATACTTGAGTAAAATTGAAAGTCACCCAGAAAAATACTACTTGAGTAAAAGTCTAAAAGTATTTGGTTTTAAATATACTTAGGTGTCAAAAGTAAAAGTAATTGCAAAAATATACTGACGTATTAAAAGTAAAAGTAAAAGTACAAATTCTTTCAAATTGCTTATAATAAGAAAATCAGACGGCACAATTATTATTATTATTATTTTATTTTTTTACAGGTAGCCAGGGGCACACTACAACACGCAGACATAATTTACAAACTAAGTATTTGTGTTTAGTGAGTCCTCCAGATCAGAGGCAGTACGGATGACCAGGGATGTTCTCTTGATAAGTGAGTGAATTGGACCACTTTCCTGTCCTGCTAAGCATTGAAAATGTAACGAGTACTTTTGGGTGTCAGGGAAAATGTATGGAGTAAAAAGTACATTATTTTCTTTAGGAATGTAGTGAAGTAAAAGTAGTCCAAAATATAAATAGTAAAGTAAAGTACAGATACCTAAAATAACTACTTAAGTAGTACTTTAAAGTATTTTTACTTAAGTACATTACACTGCTGATGAAAACAAAAAAGCCTGTAATGCTCCTAACATCACCTAATATAACACTAATAGTGACAACATTTAAATCCAAGGTAGATCTCAATTGTAGGCCTATCATTTGATGTGCATAGAGGCAGGAGCTTGAAGCAGACACTAAGAAAACCCGAAGTGGTGTAGTGAGTTGGAGAGGACCAGAAAAGTGGAGTGGATTTGTCAATGGCCAATGCTCCCTAAGGAGCAATGGGCCTAAATAAGTAGTGTGCATGACAACGTTACTCTCTTGCCTATTTTTGGCAACAACACAGTCTTCGCTGCACAATGCCAGATGGTTAGGGGGGAAAGCCTCTTAACCTCTACGCACCTCAGTCAAATCCCTTTATGAAGTCAGACCTAATCCCATCCAAAAAGGTGAAAGTGTAATGAGAATGCTTTCCAAGTCCAAGGCCCACAGTCAACGAACGTTTGTGATGTACCACAATTACTTGTGATGCTGAAGTGGAGACAAAATTGAAGCTTTCTGCCTATCTCTTGAAATATACTGACATAACTTTATTTTGTTTGGAATCACTTATTAAAAAGTTCAAATCCATCTGGATTACATTGGTTCAGGTGAAGTCATCAATGAGAACCAATCAAAGTAAGGGGCTTATGCTGGTATACTCCTACATTTCACCATTGTGAAACAATGGTGAATGCAGCATTCAGTCTGGTTTATCCATGCTAAAGGAGACTTGCCTAATGGTGGTCTAGCTGTAATGAGAAAAGGTGAGCTAATATGCTATAACTGGATAGTTCACCCAAATTACAAAATGACACATTGGTCTCCTTACACATTAAGCAGTCGATGGACAATATATGACAGCATTACATGCGTTTTGTTTTCCCTGGTACGGTTTCCAAATGATAACATTTTAGCATTTGTGGCATAAATCCCATTCATGTCATGGTACTGATATTAGCATTTTACGTGCATCATGTCCAATTGATCCGAAAGTATCTCAAATTGATTGTGAAGCTCAACAATGTCACTTACAGTATAGATGATTTGAACATGATGCGTGAAAAATGCTAATATCTGTACAATGATGTGCCACAAATGCAACTATGCCAAAATAATCCATGATTGGTCGCGTCTGTAGCAACATGAACAAAACAACTAACGACCAGATTTTTGACCAGACTATATCTTCTGATAAAATACATACATTTTCTGAAGTTACTTATGAAAATAACGGTTTTAATGAAAATATATAATTTGTTGTGATTTTAACATGTTGGTAACCATTTTATTAAAGCAATAATGCAGGCTTAGCGTCGGGCTGAACAACACCATTATACTGTATGTGACTGTATTCATTACAGTGGGGAAAAAAAGTATTTAGTCAGCCACCAATTGTGCAAGTTCTCCCACTTAAAAAGATGAGAGAGGCCTGTAATTTTCATCATAGGTACACGTCAACTATGACAGACAAATTGAGAAAAAATTTTCCAGAAAATAACATTGTAGGATTTTTTATGAATTTATTTGCAAATTATGGTGGAAAATAAGTATTTGGTCACCTACAAACAAGCAAGATTTCTGGCTCTCACAGACCTGTAACTTCTTCTTTAAGAGGCTCCTCTGTCCTCCACTCGTTACCTGTATTAATGGCACCTGTTTGAACTTGTTATCAGTATAAAAGACACCTGTCCACAACCTCAAACAGTCACACTCCAAACTCCACTATGGCCAAGACCAAAGAGCTGTCAAAGGACACCAGAAACAAAACTGTAGACCTGCACCAGGCTGGGAAGACTGAATCTGCAATTGGTAAGCAGCTTGGTTTGAAGAAATCAACTGTGGGAGCAATTATTAGGAAATGGAAGACATACAAGACCACTGATAATCTCCCTCGATCTGGGGTTCCACGCAAGATCTCACCCCGTGGGGTCAAAATTATCACAAGAACGGTGAGCAAAAATCCCAGAACCACACGGGGGGACCTAGTGAATGACCTGCAGAGAGCTGGGACCAAAGTAACAAAGCCTACCATCAGTAACACACTACGCCGCCAGGGACTCAAATCCTGCAGTGCGAGACGTGTCCCCCTGCTTAAGCCAGTACATGTCCAGGCCCATCTGAAGTTTGCTAGAGTGCATTTGGATGATCCAGAAGAGGATTGGGAGAATGTCATATGGTCAGATGAAACCAAAATATACGTTTTTGGTAAAAACTCAACTCGTCGTGTTTGGAGGACAAAGAATGCTGAGTTGCAGCCAAAGAACACCATACCTACTGTGAAGCATGGGGGTGGAAACATCATGCTTTGGGGCTGTTTTTCTGCAAAGGGACCAGGACGACTGATCTTTGTAAAGGAAAGAATGAATGGGGCCATGTATCGTGAGATTTTGAGTGAAAACCTCCTTCCATCAGCAAGGGCATTGAAGATGAAACGTGTCTGGGTCTTTCAGCATGACAATGATCCCAAACACACCGCCCGGGCAACGAAGGACTGGCTTCTTAAGAAGCATTTCAAGGTCCTGGAGTGGCCTAGCCAGTCTCCAGATCTCAACTCCATAGAAAATCTTTGGAGGGAGTTGAAAGTCCGTGTTGCCCAGCAACAGCCCCAAAACATCACTGCTCTAGAGGAGATCTGCATGGAGGAATGGGCCAAAATACCAGCAACAGTGTGTGAAAACCTTGTGAAGACTTACAGAAAACGTTTGACCTGTGTCATTGCCAACAAAGGGTATATAACATAGTATTGAGAAACTTTTGTTATTGACCAAATACTTATTTTCCACCATAATTTGCAAATAAATTCATTAAAAATCCTACAATGTGATTTTCTGGATTTTCTTTTCTCATTTTGTCTGTCATAGTTGACGTGTACCTATGATGAAAATTACAGGCCTCTCTCATCTTTTTAAGTGGGAGAACTTGCACAATTGGTGGCTGACTAAATACTTTTTTCCCCCACTGTATATAGCACTGCCTCTTGTGCTTTATTTTTTTTAATTTTTTTTACCCTTAATTACTTTCCAACCCCACCAACCCTTCCCTAATTGGAGTAAACTAGTGAACAACAATGCTTAGGCCTCTACTTCCAGCTTATACAAACTATATACATTTTTTTGGACACAGTCAATTTTACAATAATTCTATTTTGTTTGTTTTTACTCCTGAACTCCCTCTACCCTCCACCTCTTCGATCATTTTCATGATGTCCATCTGGTTTGCTTCTATATGCCATATCTTTCTAACTGTGCTCTTTCACAAAAGCTCTCAACCTATATACTTATTATGGACACGGTACGCTTACATTATTAGTTATCTTGTTGTTATTTGTTGTTATTAGCCCCATCCTTCAACTCCATTCAACACCACCCATCTATCGCTTAACACCATCCATATTGGATTTCTATTTGCCATATATTTTTCAACTGTTCTGTGATCTTTTACAAAAGTTCTGAACCTTTCTATTCTAATTTTTTCTACAGATTGTAAAATGAAAATATTTGTTTTTTGCTAAAAGTATTATTATATTATTGATCGACTGACTATGCGATCTGCAGGGTTAGCTCCAGGTAAATATTGCAATCCTTTAGCCATTCCTGGACCTGTGTCCAAAAACAAGCTACAAATGGACAGTACCAAAACAAATGATCTAATGATTCTGTCTCTTCGCATGTCGCTAGGTGTAGGCAGGGCCATTAGCAAATAGGTAAACTGGGATATGACTAAAAAGTTAATCAGGGTGATTTTTCCACAAATAGACAGGTATTTTCCTTTCCATGGTAACAATATCTTATCTATTTTTGCTAACTTTCTATTAAAATGTATTGGAGTGAGATCATTTATTTCATTTGGGATATATATTCCGAGTATATCCACATCACCATCAGACCATTGTCTCTGACCTTATTTATTTTTCTGTTTTGGCTGCATATAGGCAACTCACAGCAGGTCCATAAAACAGATGGGGACTTCTCTTTGGTGTATGGGCCGCTCAGGTGGGTGTCTTGGATA